GAGAAGCTGCGCTAAGAGAGGAAGAAGGTTGGGCGTTGGTTTGCGTGTAGCAGCCATAGCTGCCCCATCTAGTTGATATAGTTAGAGGGTTAGTAGTTAGTCTTCAGTGAGTAACATTCAGAGTAGATTCTCATAGAGGGAGTGTGCATGCATAATGAGGGAAGAAAACTCAGACAGAGATCTTGAGGGAGAAAGAGAGGAAGGGGCAGGTGTACGAATCTGGCTATGGTGGATACATACCTGCTCTGCATTTAACTTGTTGTTGAGAGGTGGCGTTGGTTGAGCCAGGCCCCACATTGCGGTTGTACGAGAGGGAGAGACATATCGCACCGTTGGATCTTGAACTCGAGATACTCTTATAATGAGTTGGAGATAATATAAGTTGCGCATCTTGGTTCTCATCTCATCTCTACTTTGTGCTGTGTGATGGTTCATAATCTGTGTGATTGGTAAAGTGACATGCATTTTGATACACTCTGGCAAGTTGTGGATAGTCAGGTCCCTTGCAGCTTAGTCTGTTGTCACCTAATGTGAAGAAAAAAAAAAAAATTAGGGCGGGCGAGTCTCAAACGAAGGGGGAAAAACAACAAAAACCCTCTTCATTACCAACATGACTGGCCCAAATAATAATAACTTGAAACATGTGGGAGACGGGGGGTCGGTTTGCGCTACAAATTTTCTCTAATTCTTACCGCATGCACAACAGACAAAAATGTGATAGTGTATCTTTCCATATATATGTGGAAGATTCATTCAGATTTTTCATGTTTTGTGAGTTGTGGCGCGAGGCCCCGAGATAAGGGGCGGTTGTACAGTTGTCAACACCCCTCACTTTCGGCAAAGGTATGGCTACACTACTCACCAATGTCTTTCTAGCGTGTCATAACCCTTTTTTTTTTTTTTTCCAGATTTCATGAAAGAATACTCCCAGCATCGTTGTCCTTCAACTAGACGTTATGTCAAGCTTGTGAAACACGCTTCCGGCATGCTTGAAGGTGGGTTTTTCAACTGGGAAAGGTATTGGCGACTTAATGACTTTTGCGAACTTAGTCTGCTATCACCTAATGTGAAGAAAAAAAAAAAGTGCGGGTGAGCCTGAAGCGAAGGGGGGAAAAAAACAAAAACCGTCTTCATTACCAACCCGATTGGGCCAACTTCAGAACTGATCGCCAAGTTTAGTAAGTGAACAACAAAAGCTTAATGCCCAACAAAAAAAAAAAAAAAAAAAAAAAACTTTATCTCCTTTTGAGGGTATTTCTCCGATGGACCCGGGACATCGAACCCCCTACACGGAAAGTGGGTCTTCTGTTCAGTACGTGAGCAACAAAACCTCAAAAAAAAAAAAAAAAAAAAAAAAAAAAAAAAAGCAAAAGGGGTTAAATATTGGCTAGGCTAGACAACTTGCAAATTTTGTTTTGACAAAGGGAACCAAGCAAGTGTTGCAGTGTAAAACAACCCACATCATGAAAGTCAAACAATGCTCTATCCCCAAAACAAAAAAGTCAAACAACAGCTCATGACAATGATTTTTATAGACAACAAGTTTTGTTAAAGTTGCTGAACTCCAATAATGAGACCCCTATATTCAGCAAGCGGCTTTTGCCAAAGCAGCTGATGACAACACAACGGCTTTAAAACCCTTCTCTCTGGCATAAGAGTCATATCCTCGTCACAACCCGCCCATCTCAAATTGTCTTGAAAAACGCTTCCGGAATGTTTGACTTGGTCGACACAAAACCTGTACGTTAAGTCAATAACAAAATAAATTTATATGCGAGTTTTAAAGACAAACAACAATAAAAAGAGTTTCTCTACCAAACAGTCAAAAATCTACAGCATCCAAGTTAATACAACACTAAGACGATACACAATCAATTGTTAAACCTGGTTTGTTTGATGTCAACGCATATGACCTGTTCCAAAATCTAACGTCGACCAGATACTAAAGGTATAGTGTTGGATGTGAATATTGATGAAAACATAGAAAAAAATAATAATTGACAAAGCACCAACAGAAAATAGGATGAAGAAGATACTGAAAAGACAATAAAGGGAAAAAACAACCTTAAACAACATTCAGAGGAGGAATATCCTAAAGGGTGTGATACAATTCACTTATGATTTTCACTATTCTTCAAGGTTGTGGGTTCTTATATATAATCTCACCTTGTCCCAAACTGTCGACACAGTACTGGTCATGGCATTTAATATGCCACGTCCTTACCTCCACATTGACAACGAACATGACTACTTAACATCCAACCAAACAAAACAAGAGAAAACGTGGTCATAAAAAGATCAACAATCTACAATCATTTCAACATTATTATCTACCATTATGATATACCACTCAAGTGCATGAACAATGAGGCAACTCAGGCAATATATGCGAAATACATAACACAGTTGGTCACAATAGTGGTCCGGGACGACTTGACTGACTTACGCCAAAAGTTTATATATATATATATATATAATATATATATACACATATATAACGTCAAACAAAGTTGCCCAGTAAACCATAGGCAGAGAGGGAGAAGAGGAAAATAAACGAGGGGCATATATATAAATATATGAGTTGGTGAAACTCCAACGAAACAGTTTGTCACAATCTCTCGTTTGTTATCATTTTTTCCCTCTCTGCTTACGTTTATCGCACAACTCTGTTTGGCGATGAATACCACAACGTACGTGTATGCAACTTGCGCCTACACATGTATACGTATTCCTGTACATGATACGTATGCGCGTACACGAACTACCGTACGTGTGAGTACGTTAAAAAAAAAGAAAAAAAAAACGAACAAATCTGGAAAGAATTTCAAAAAAATATGCAAAAAGGAAAAACAAATTACTAGAAATTAAAAAAATAAAAAATATTATGCAGAATAAAAATCCACACAACTTTTATCTGAGATTCATCACAAATCTTTTTTTTAGATTCTTTCTATTTTATCGGGTGTTCAACTACGCTAACAACTGGTCCGTGCGAGGGTCAAAGAAAGTTCCAAAAATAAAATAAAATAAATCAAAAGAATCCTCGGCTACCAGCCCACTCGGATCACCTTGTTTTCCCTTGCGGCCCGACCGTGCAAAGGACAGGGAAGACTCAAAAAAAAAAAAAAAAAAAAATTGTTTATCTAGGCTACCAGAGTGGCCCGGGTCCACTTGCCCGGCCGGGCCAAAAAGGAATTAAAAAAATAAAAATAAAAATTATTTTTCAATTAAAATTTTTATTTTAAATTTGGTACAGAATTTTGATGTGACCCTGAGGCAAAAGTTGTTCAATTTAGTTTTCTTTATAACATAGTTTTTTTTTTCGGATTGTTTGGATTTTTTTTTTTTTTTTYTTTGGGCCGGGACCTTCCCTGGTCCTTGCACGGCCGGGCCGCCTGGGAAAATAGGGTGACCCGGGCGGCCCGGCTGGTAGTCTAGTTATTTATGTATAAAAATAAAACTAAGCAAGTTTTGCCTCAGGGTCATATCGAAATTCTTTACCAAATTTAAAATAGAAAATAAATAGAAACTTTTTTTTTTTTTTTTTTTTTTATGGCCCAGCGGGGCAAGTGGTCCTGGGCCGCTCTAGTAGCCTAGAAAGAATTGTAAAAAGAACTATGTTATGCAGAAGAATAAACTGAAAAAAAAATAAAAAAATATTTTTATTTTTTTTTCCTAGGTTACCAACCGGGTCGTCCGGGTCACCTTGTTTGTCTAGGCACCCCGACCGTGTAAGGGCCAAAGAGAGTCCCAGCAAACAAAAAAAATCCAAAAAATTAAAAAACTTTGAAAAAAAAAAATATTATGCAGATAAAAAAACTGAACAACTTTGGCCTCAGAGTCACATGAAAAATCGTCACCGAATTGCAAATAAAAAACAAAGTTGAAAAATATATTTTTTTTTTTTTTTTTTTTTTTTTTTTCTAGGTTGTTTTATCGGACGTCCGGGATCCCCTTGACCGTCCGGGATGTCCGACCGGACGTCTGGTCGAACGTCGGACCGGACAAGGGATGTCCAACCTAACGCAAAAAAAATTAAAAAAATTATGTGGCTTCTACCTTGCATAAGGTGTATGCCACCAAAATTTTGGCTCATTTGAGCCAATAGAAAAAAAGATAAAAATCTTCAAAGATTCTAATCCTCGCCTATACCCCTCCTATCCCCACCAAAACCCCTCGTACCCCCCCCCCTCCCACCCCAAATAGCACCCTATCACTAAATGCTCAGAAAATTCTGAATTTTTTATGGGGGGTCTCTATGGCATGCGCAATACTGTCATAATTTTTTTTTTGTTTTTTTTTTTTAGTGCCAAAAAGTCGTCGTCCGGAAATCCGGACGACGGGGGTGCCTTACGTCCGGGGAGACGTCCGGGGGAGACGTCCGATCTCCGGACCATTGGTAACATAGTTTTTTTTGCCAAGCCGGGGAAGTCTCCTAGGCCACTCTGATAGGTGTTCAATCGTTTTTTTTTTTTTTGTCTTATGTTATCAGGTGTTCAATCATTGGGCACATGCGCTGGTAGAAGCAGACAAGGCCGTTTTTAGGCCCAGTTACGAACCAATTGGTGGGTGCTACAGACCCTTGGAAACATCGAGTTTTTTGGATGGGTTATTTGTTAGGCCCCTTCGGCCAACAAGTCTTCTATGATATGGTAGTACGATTTTCTGGTCAGTTAGGCTCTCGGGTAGGTTCAGGCGAAGTCTTTGGGGATTCACAAGTACTTATAGGAGTTTGTTGTAGTTAGTTTCTATCTGAAGCCAGGAGTTGACCCCTGACAAAGACCAGTTGGCGACTGGTCGAAACGGGGCGTCAGGTCACGCCGCCATGCGTCGTTGTACTTCACTCTTGTCATTTTGAACGACGCGTCATGTGCTCGAATTTTTATCTGCTTCGTCTTGTTTCTTTTTTTTCCCTCATCGCTCCTTCTTCCTTGTCCTTTATTGTATGTTTAATGCGTTTGCATGATGTCATATCCAAACACTTATGTGCTTCATTACACGCAATAACCATCGTGACTTAAGACTGCGCTTGAGTGATTGCATTGACCAGTCCCACGTACTGCGTTTCGTTCCAGTGAACGATTCACACATACTTGTATCCGGTCCCTTGTTCTTTCATTCTTACTGTTTCTCTTTCTTGCTTATTTTTGTCCTTCATTTTTCTGCCACTATGAGTTACGGAGGACAGAGGGTCTGCCATCACTGTAGGCAACCCGGTCATTTCATTAGGGATTGCCAGCTTCGGCAAATCCCGAATCTCGCTGCTCTCTTAATTGGCAATGGAGGAGAAGGAGGGGCGAACACACCACAGGATAATGACGGGTTACTTCCTGCTCCGAATGCTCTGGTGCCGTACAAGCCACCGCAAGCCAACGGAGAGCAGAACGATGGAGGCCGGTATAATCAGGGTGCTAACCACGGGTATAGAGGTCAGCATGGTCAAGGGTACGGCAATAACCAGGCACATGGGAATAACTTCTACAGAGGTGGTTATCAGCAGAGGCCAAGGAACAATTGGTGGGGAGAGAATAGAGAGAGAGAGACGGATGATAGATTGGAGAAGGTGTGGGGATGGTACTCGGAGGAGATGGAAGCCAAGGATAAAGAGAGGCGTGCTAAGGAGGAGAAATTGAAGGAGGAAGAAGAGAAGAAGAGAATTCAAGCTATAGAAGATGAGCGTGCTAAGGCGAAAAGAGAGCGTGAGGAGTTTGAGCAGTCAATCGGCAAGATGGTCAGAGAGAGTATGAAGGAAGTTTGCGGCGCGGTCATCGGGAAAAAGGCGACTACGAGTCAAGTCTTTACAACAACCATCGATGTTGTCGACAAAAGTGATGAGGTTAGGCAGGTGGATGAACAACGGAAGCAACAACAGGAACACTGGCGGCGGGAAGATTCCGCAGCGAGAGAACAAATGGAGAAACAGAGGAGGGATGAGTTGGAAAAACTCAGGCAAGAGAATGGGGATCTCGTACGAATAGCCTTGGGGAGAGCTAGTCGGGAGCTGGATTCTATCAAAGCCGACAATGAAGCGCTGGTCCATGATTTCTTGGCTCTCAAGAGTGAGGTTGAAATCCTTAAGTGGAGTAACAAACGCACCTCGGAAGCAGTCACGGAGAAAAGTCCTCCTACCGAGCCTGCTAAGGGAAAATCGCGGCAGCAAGAGGGTTCACAAACTCCGGCTGATTGGGCGAAGCTCGCGGAGGCATATCGGAAGATTGGCGACGAGAAAGATATGGCCGAGCGGGAGGTCTCGACACTTAAGGAGAGGATCAACAGGATCAAGATTGTGATTCCTTCTAGCATCAAACGGAAGGTATCGCTCCGACGAAGGAGCCCCAAGTTTGGGAACAGTCCCGGATCTAAGAATGGCGATCAAGTCAGAATCACCTTCGTAAGGAAGGTAGGCGACGAGGATGCTTTCTACAAGAGAGTGTGCAGTGATCTCGGCAAGCTCCGGAAAGGACAACTCGAGAAACTGTGTACGAAAGAAGAGATTGACTATGTCGGCGTTAAGTAGACCGCGGCTGATCTGGCGGACATTTACACGACCAGAGCTTTTGATTGTCCAACCAATCGGCGTTTGGTCAGTAACGACGAGCAAGAGGAAAACGTGGATGGGGATCCTGATAGGGAGGATTCCATGGATGTTGTTGGAGTATCTGCTGATGCATCCTTGAACTCGGAATCCTCGTAGGTTTGGTTCCGAGCGTCAGACAGGTCTATTCTTTGCTTTCTACTGTTCGTAAGTTAATGATCTCTAAGGCTGGGTTGAGCAATGTTAATCTGAATAAGATTTTTCGTAGTTTGGTTATTCTGCTCATTCTGTCTTCGGCGATTCCCTTGGCTGTCAAATACTCTCCATACCTTTCTGCTCTAGTGTCTTCCCGATATGACTTCTTCAGTTGTCCAGACCCAGTAGTGTACATTCTCGTTTCGCCGTGGTGCAAACATACCTATGTTGCATGTAGTTCACGGTCAGTTGATGTGCGTTGGAATGAGCACGTACAACGGGCTAGTTACGAAGGACAGGACATTACTGTGAGGAATCATCGGTTGTATCGCTGGTTGAGATGGTGCGGAGTGGAGAATTACTTAGCGGTACCGATTGCTCATCCAAACGCACATGATTTTTTTGATGTTAAGCGTTTCTTCATTCGTTTTACTTTTCATTTTCTTAATAGCTTAGGACAGTCTAGATGCAATGCTAATAGAAAGTGTCGACCGGGGAAAAAGGAACGTGATAAGAATAGAAGACGGACCGGTTCGGTCAGTTGTTCCCACAATAGTTCATCCACGCTGTTAAGTTTTGTTACGAGTTTCGGTACGTCTTCCGTTTCGTTGGTAAGAATTTTTTATGATGCTTTTGAAAAAGGAATTTATGCATTTTCAATTGTGTGTTGGGGCGGTTTTATTTTGTGTGACAAATGGAAAATGGTCAAAAGGAACTATGGATCTACGGTCGTGAATTCAGATTGTGGTACGTGTTTACTCAAAAGTGCGCATGGGTTGTTGGTTCCGGGCAAACAACTTGATATTAGCGGACTAACTAAATTTTGTTCTACGTTTTTTTAGAGGAAGAAGTCGCTGGTCCCATTGTTGTCTAATCCCGCATCACGTAAAGACTTGTATAAGTGCAATTTCGATGAATTGTTGTTGAATTACTCTACTGTACGGTCCTTTTCTAAAAAGAAGAGTAGGAACACATTGCATTGTGTTTTGGCACGTGTGCTCAGAAGTAAATTCGACTTTCATATTAGGATTAAGCCCGTCATTAGAATCTCGTACGATGCTCGACTTTCTAAATCCAAATTGAGGAAACTTTGTATCAAAAGTGTACAGAAGTCGGCTGTTAGGAAACCGCTCAAGGACATTATTTGTAGGCGTCTTAGAATAGTTTGTCATAAGAATAAGACTGTGACGGATTATATTCACAATTTCAGGCAGGCTGCTAGAAAACCCTCTCTTGAGCGTGTTGTCCCCTTGTTTCCCACGAACTGCTTTCCTCTGACCAAGATACTCCTGCTGTCTCTTTTTCCCATCCACTACGCACCCACTCCTCTCTTGTCCCCTCATATTCGTCTTCTTCGTCCTCTTCTCCTCATGCTTCTTCTTCTTCTTCTTCTTCTTCTTCTTCTTCTTCTTCTTCTTCTTCTTCTTCTTCTTCTTCTTCTTCTTCTTCTCCTCCTCCTTCTTCTTCTTGCCCACCCTTTCTGTCATTCAATTATGACGGACACATAGCATGTAGATTTTCGTTTGTATTTATCCCTCCCATTATTCAAAATTCGCGTAATATCCCTTATCCGGACCTGCAATCTAACATCCCTTCGCTTTCTCCGTCTATTAGACACTCATTGAATAATGTTCAAAATGATACTTCCCACTTTGATATCTCATCTACGGAGCTGAAACAATGTTTCTCAAGAAGGAAGGATCATGTGTCGTTTGTCAGTAGTGATTGTAGAATAATCAAGGCATGAAAAGTTAAGCTAGAAGGGTTTGTGGTCTGTGATGTGGATCATAATCCGGGTGATTTTGTCCTGCTGTGTATTTGGAAGGATTTGATAGTTTGTTTCTCAAGAACTATGGTTTCGTCAAGACAGGCAATAACGAACAAGTCGTTATTAATAGTATTAAGAAGGACTATTTCGACAGAAAAAATCATAAACATGTCCGGTGGAACTATAGCTGTCAGTTGGGAAAGGCGTACACCATGCCTAAGTACAAAGACGTATGACGATGGAGACCTATTTGCCCATTTTGTTCCGATCCACCTGATAGTCTTAGTCGACTAGCTTCTAAAGTTGTTAATTATTTGTTATGGTCGCTTCCGGTAGATAGTAATTTTAATCTCAAATCCACTGTGGACTTGCTTTCGCGCCTTACCAAGTTCAACTCTTCTTTGGGTCCCTTTGAAGAGGTCAATGTTGCTAACTTCGATGTCAAAGAGATTTCTCCAACTTACCGCATAACTTTATCCTGAACGTTGTCGAATGGATGGTTTCTGTGTTTAAAGAGAAAGGGTTTGACAAAGTCTTGGTGAAGTCTCGAGGGAAGAGTGTCACACTCACTAAGGGCAAGAGAACTCCGGAAGGTTGGAAGTGTGTTAGTTTTTCTAAATTGTTAAGTTTTGTAACGTTCGATTTGTCCAACACGTATACTATGTGCATGGGGCAGTTTTTGAAGCAGAAGGTGGGCATACCGATGGGCAAACCCGCCATCCCAGCATTGGCTTGTTTGTTATGCATCCATAACGAGTTTTGTTTTCTGAATTCATTAGGCTCTTAAAAGAAGTTGTTCTCAGGGATTCGTTTGATCGACGACGTTTCGGTATTTGCGAAGTATGAAAGGCGATCTATGATTTCGAAGTGGAATGCTCGGTAAGCTATCGAACGTTTTTGTCAGTGCTATGACGACAAACTCACTTTGGAGAAGATCAGTGATGGTGATAGTTGGGAATATCTAGGATGTGTCATCAAAGTGTTTCATGGACCTCCGAAGGTACTCTGCGCGGGTACTCACAAGAACGAGCGATGTGTATTGGATACTGGTATTATTTTCCAATGTCTGCAGGATTTTGCCTCATATTCATCCAAACAGAAGAAGATAGCAGTTATCACGTTTTTCTTACACATAGCTAGACATATGAACAGTATGCCGGGTGCTGAGGTTTGTTTTCTGCTGACTCTGAAAATTGAGCTTAGATTAAGAGGGTTCCCGGACTATTACTTTAATAATGCCTTGGACCGTTTCTCTTGTAGGTATAATCATTGTTGGAATACATGGGTCCAGTGTTTGACTAAGTGGTAGAAGCAGGCAAGGTCGTTTTTAGGCCCAGTTACGAACCAATTGGTGGGTGCTACAGACCCTTGGAAACATCGAGTTTTTTTGATGGGTTATTTGTTAGGCCCCTTCGGCCAACAGGTGTTCTACGATACGGTAGTACCATTTTCTGGTCAGTTAGGCTCTCGGGTAGATTCATGCATTGTCTTTGCGGATTCACAAGTACTTATAGGAGTTGGTTGTAGTTAGTTTCTATCTAAAGCCAGAAGTTGACCCCTGACGAAGACCAGCTGGCGACTGGTCGAAACGCGGCGTCGGGTCGTGCCGTCATGCGTTGTTGTACTTCACTCTTGTCATTTTGAACGACGCGTCCTATGCTCGGATTTTTATCTGTTTCATCTTGTTTCTCTTTTCTCCTTCATCGCTCCTTCTTCCTTGTCCTTTATTGTATTGTTAATATGTTTGCATGATGTCATATCCAAATACTTATGTGCATGACTACAGTTGTTCGGGATCCCGAAGAAACCGCTTTGTGGTCAATTGGGGTTGCCCAAGTCTCCGACGATCGAAGCGGGGAACCCCAAGACAACACATGGGGTGATTCAGAGAAAAGAAAAAAACAACAAAGGGCTTGCAGCACTTGTGGCATCTCCAACATTTCCAATGGTGGTTTCAGCTATCTGGACATGCCGATAAACTCCGATAAACTTCATTGAACATTTGTTTCTGATTGTTCAATTGGATAATTTGGAGGACAGGGTTAATTTAGAGGAGGGGGCTGATTCATAATTGAATTCGTATTTGAACTTTTTTTTTGTGTATTGAGTTTTAAGTGCATCTGACATTCCAGTTTTCATGTGGATTTGCCTCTTTTGAGTCTTCTGTGAAATTTCATGCATGTATGAGAACGTGTGGCGTCATTGTGGATTGAGATTGAATCAAGTTGTAGATTGTAATGAACTTTACCTGAGTGAGAGCAGTAACTTAGTGGAAAAGCAAAGAAAAAGGTACTTGAAGTGCCCATAAGGTGGAGGGAAACTTAAAGCGTCAAGACCTTAAGCCCGCGATCCAATTCATCCATGCTTGGTTCTACACACTCCCTGAAGAAAAAAAAGAAGAAAAAAATTGTAACCTTCCATGAAGGTTTATGGAAGCTTAATGAGAGCAGTGACTTATATGAAAAGCAAAAGAAAAAGGCACCTGAAGTGCCCATAAGCTAGAGGGAAACTTGAAGCGTCAAGACCTTAAGCCCACAATCCAATTCATCCACGCTTGGTTCTACACGGTCCCTGAAGAAAAAAAAAAGAGGAAAATAAGTGTAACCTTCAGTGAAGGCTTAAAGAAGCTTAATAAAGGCATTGACTTATATGAAAAGCAAAAGAAAAAGGTACCTGAAGTGCCCATAAGGTGGAGGGAAACTTGAAGCGTCAAGACCTTAAGCCCTCAATCCAATTTATCAATGCTTGGTTCTACACAGTCCCTGAAGATGTCTCTTATACACATCTAGATGTGTATAAGAGACAGGTTTTACACAGTCAAAAAAAAAAAAAAAAAAAAAAAAAAGTGTAACCTTCGGTGAAGGCTAAGGGAAGCTTAATGAGTGAGCGCTCTTAAAAACGGTTAAGTTCTTGAAGAAAAAAAAAAAAGAAAAAAAAAATGTAATCTTCGACAAAGCCTTAGCGAACGTTAATGAGTCCACGCTCTGAAAAACGGTTAAGTTCCCCAGTAAAACAAACAAGAAAAAGAAGTGTGATCTTCGACGATGCCCTAAGGAAGTTAATAAGTGAATGCACCT